AAATGAAGAGTGCTTGGATGTTGTTCATTTTATAACCAAGTGGTGCGGTCAACCACTTAATCCAGCTCACACGTTCTAAGACATTTACTATAGTAAATGGTGCATATGCCATTAGCAAATACATCACTTAAGATTATTCTATCAAAAAAAGTTTTTTAAAAACATTGAAGCAAAAATTAATTGTTTTGGAAGTAGAAGTAGCCTCGCAGAGTGCTCCTTATTTCAGGCATCTGGTGGTATATGCACGTTTCCGTTTTCCCATCCTTTACTATTTCAACTGTCTTGGGCTCACCTGCCACTTTATGATTAACAACCAGCAGTATCCTGTCAATGCTAAGCTTTGATCCATAATCAATAATGGCATTAGATAAAGCTGTGATGTAGTGAGAGCCAGAATACACACCTCTCAATGCTTTATTGTTCTCTACTGTACTGAAAGCAAAGAGGAAATCAGCTTCTGGAGGTAATGCAATAGAGCGACCATCAGGAACCATTACCTCCTCTTCTTCTCTGGAACCGGAAGGAATTGATAAATCGGCCACCATTCGCTCTGGCATTCCAGTCCCTCTACATGCTTGAAAGACAAATATTTTTGGTTTCCCATGGAGCCAGTCACAATTAACAATATTTGCAAGTTCAGTGACAGTAACAGTTTTACCATCAACTCCTTCAATTCCTGCTGGATTACCATGAGACAAGATACAGCAAATGAAGCTGTCATGGTCACGAGTGACATCTTTCTCAACTACTTCTTCAATAGCTTCTTTCATTGTATCAGCTTCCAGGTTTCTCTTGGTAATAACTTCGTATCGACATTTGTCAAATGCTTTTTTAAGCTTTTCTTCATCTTTTTTTGACGAATCTCGATTTGGGGTGTCTTTATCTGAAAATTTAACATTGTTAATAATCAATACAATGCCACGATTCCTTCCTGGGTTGGTTGTGTAGTGGTACACAATATCCTCATCAGATTTTTTCTTTTTTGCCCATGGCCAATCACTGGTTAACTATTATTAGATATAAGGATAATAATCATCACTCATAAACTTACTGGTTCCTCTGATTCACAATCTTGATGACCACTAGATTTGGTAGCTAAAATAAGACATACACTTGAATCTATGCAATGTACCCATTGTACTAATTACCTATGTCAGGAGTAGATGGGGCAACTTTAGTTCGTGTAGATTGGCCATTATCAGAATCATTAGTCTTTGCAACCTGTTTATCTATAGTAAAACATTATTGTCACAATAATGATAAATAGATCTTCTAAACAGTAAACATACAATTAGCATAGCTTTGAGAAATATTATTGGCTGCTTTCTCAGCAATGAGAGTGTCGATCTCTTTAATGATAGACAAGAATTCATCAATCTTTTCTGGTAGATCACCAAGAAGCTCAGCCAATCTCAGAACAAATGCTTCTACTCTTTCCCGTAGTGTCTGACCTGATAATCTGTCATTCAATTGAGCTAATTCAAGTGTTGTTAGAGTCAAACACTCACTTCCGGTCACCATCCATTTACGAACGCGATTTCTTCTAAACTAGACTTCTTTTACCTACAACTTTGGCATTGCTGCAAAGCTTAGACTTAGTAGATCAAGGTGGTATGTCTTTGAAACAGCTTAAGTATCTTTGCAATTTTTTACAAAGCATAAAAGTTGCGAATCGAACACATGAATTTTCGATTGTTGCACATCATTTATCGTTATTCTTCCTGAAATACAACAAGCAGCAGCAAATCTTAACAAGTATATTATTACCACAATGGTCTATCCTTACTTCACAAATAGCAATATTAAGGAAGATGTTTTACTTGTTGCAATTTTTCTAAGCGAGATGCAAAAGGTAGCCATTGATGGATCAATGATCGAACACGCCCACAAC